ATAAGGGAGACTGAAAGTGGCAAAAATTGTAACCATAAAATAATAGATGAAAAAAATGAAAAACTAATTTGTGGAAATAAGAGATGAATAAGAGGAAAGTAGCTTAGACTAATAAATAAATACATAATATATTGCTATTAAATAAGTTATATTTAACTAATTTTAATTATATGATATACTTGTTATCATTGAGCTTAAATCCTTTAACAATTTAATTGCTCAACAATAAACAAATTTATTTACATGTAAATAAATGAATTAGAATGTGTTAAGTTTGATTTATTTGTTATATTTTTTGATAAAAGACTGCATTTTGGTGGGATTTGATATTATTTGTGACACAATTCATCAGTTGAAAGGTAAACTAGCTTGAGTCTCTATTTGTGATTATCGCAATATTTCAACTACAAAGATTATATGTCTTATAGAGGTTCCTACTAAATCTAGGCATGTTGCATTTTTAGTCATTCACAAAATACATCCCTGATATGCATAAAAATATTAAAAAAAAAATAGCCACTAACTACGATGAATTGATAATTAAAAGCAATTTATTGATATCAATGTGAGACGTTTTTGTCCATGAATAAAATAATGGCGCATTTGGATTCAAAAAACCTTCCTTTAAAAATCATTGGCAAATTAAATGCAAGAAAGGCATGACTATAAATTTTGGAAAGCATCAGATCTGACACATATCCTTCGTAGCCATGTTTCTCAAAGCTTTCTCATGCCAAATCTTTCTCCATCCATTCCAAGAGATGTAATCTTTCCTAAGCTTAAGAGGCCTAAAAGTTAAATCATTTACAAGCACTTAGTATAGTTTGACAATCAATCAAGGAATTTTGTAAGATTATCATATTGTTTATTTCATTTTTTCCTATTATGATATTTTCTATATTTTCTAAAATCAAATAGTTCAAAATCTATTGTTCTCTAACTTATGTAATATATTATTTTATTCAAGAAAATATCTAACCAACATGTGAGGTAAGGATATGAGGCCCAATATGAAATTTCAAGAAATGCATACGAATTTTGAGAGAAGTGTACATTTAACAATCATATATAATCAAATACGAGATGCTGAAAGCAATTGGCATTTTAGAAAGTGTTTGGCATGTGTATGACACCTATGCACATACTTTAATGTTGGTGAGGTTAAGAAAAATCTAATAACACGTGTAATTCAATTAAAATATTAATATCCTCATGTTCATAAACAAAATATTACCAACAATTAAAAATTAGCCACCTAGGCACATACCTTGAATCTGAGCCGTGAACCTTGCAAGTCAATTAAAATATTACCAACATTAAACAACATTAACTCGTTCCGCAAAGGTTCACCACTATCTTTTGCTTCTGATTTAATATCCTCATGTTCATTTAGAATGCCTGCTTCGCTTTTTTCATCACGAGAAGTTCTATTTGATCCATTGTAATCAGGATAAGATGATGTGTCATTAGGAGATGACTGATGATGTTGGGTTTTAAAATCTGATAGGACAACATATGACTTTTTGTCAAGCAGTGGTCTAGCAATATCAAATGGTACCCACCTGAAAATCCAACACATAGCGAGTAACAAACATGGGACCATGGCATCAAAGAACATTTGTATTTGAAAAAGATACACATGTTCGTTGCTTTGAAAAAAAGAAAGATTTAGGGTGCATTTGGGGCAGCAGTGCAGTGCTACACCACAGTTTTTTTTAATTTGGCAAAACTATGTTTGGTCCAAGTTCCCAAAAAAACTGCAGCTGGAGGCTACGTTTTCCCACCAAATCTGGCTACCTACGGTGACTGCTAGAAAACTGTGGTTTGACTTTTTCAAAAATAAAATAAAGAAAAAAAATTTATAATTGTCACCACAATTTTTTGACCAACTCCACCAAATCTGGCTACCTACGGTGACTGCTAGAAAGCTGTGGTTTGACTTTTTCAAAAATAAAATAAAAAAAAAAAACTTATAATTGTCACCACAAGTTTTTGACGAACAGTGTCTTCTTTAGCAGCTTCGAAGAAACAGCTGCAGCTGCCCCAAACACACACTTATAGTAAAAATGGCCCAGGGAAGCTAAATTTTATACTTCAATTATTCACAGCTAAGTGGCATATTATGTCTTATTACATCATGAGTCGGAATTCTAGTCCTTGCCATTACAAAGGAAGTTCTCAATTCAAAACTAAGGGGCATAATATGTCCTATTACATGATGAGTCTGAATTCCAGTAGTTTCCCTTTCAAAGAAAGTTCTCAAATTGTTAACATATTGGCATTTTTTCTGCAACTTCAGCTCCTAAATATAGCAATTTAACTCACAAATGCCAATATTCCTAGCTTTTTCATAGCATCAATTTCATTTCACTTTCTAAGTTGCATAAAGAGAAGATTGAACAAGTTAAACTATCCGATGACATAAAAGGCAAGAACTTACTCATGACGAAGGGGACATAGAAGCTCAGATGGGCGATATGCTGCTTTGTATCTCATTTTGTTGCAGGAATGGATATAATAACCGAGATAATAGTACTGGAGGCTTGGGTGGTGAGCATGTGAATTTTTTACCCAATTTATTTCTTGTAAAGCTGAGTATTTTCCAAGTGATAGGAAGGCAAGATCAGGGTCCCAGAATAAATACTTGCTAGATAAGCATCTTGGAAGAATATCAACCACTCCAACAGCAACAAGTTTCCCATCAATAACATATTGCTGATGAAAAGAACCAAAACCACAAGGTGGAACACTCTTTGTACTCTTTGTACCACTAGGAGGAACAAAAATTATAGGCGTGTCCACCAGAAATCTACGGTAAGAACTTTCTGTTACTTTATCTGGTAAATCTCCATGGACTTTGATTTGATACCTTTTGTACAAGGCAAATTCAACAGGATCAAAACATGATCTTTTCATTCTTATCTCCAATTTCTTTTTTTTTAATGGAATATTTGCACTGCTTTCAGTTGAGCAACTTTCTTTATCCTTACCTCTTACCCCTCCAAAAGTTTGTGTACACGCCACTGTATTTGAAACCAAATCTGAATATTCAGAATGTTCCGTAGAAGAACAAAAATTAAGATGGCCATTGCAAGCTTTTACTAATAGACCAAAAGGTGTATCATCCAATTTTATGGAAGATGATAGCATTTCAGCAATTATGTTGGGTGTGACATCCAATGATCCTCCATTCTGAATTGGATTATTCAACTGAGAAGGAGAATTTTTTCCTTGTGCGGATTGTGGTCGTTTTAATGATGCAGCAATCTGAAATGGGATGTTGCTCGTGTACAACAAGTCTTCCGTTAGTTTCCTTTTAGCTTGAAATTTTACCTTTTTGACAACTGCCGTTGGAAACTTAATAGAAGGAAAATCACCTCTATCAATGCAAGCACTAATGGCATTGTTGACCAAATTTGCCAAAACTTGCAAAAACTCGTCTTCATTGAACTTCTTTTCAATTTTACCAGATAAGGATTTTCCTGAAGATATTCCTGAGCTAGTAATTGCTAATGATTCATTGTTACATGAGTTAATGTTGCACTCTGTGAAGCCCACCTCTTGAAACTGGTGTAGTTTCCTCGGGTTTAATGTACCTTCTACAAACCTATCCACCAGTATGTAACAGCATTGTAGCCAATACGATATAAAATAAATGCAGGCATACGCAATGATCAGGATGAAAGTAGTGCAAAGGAAGTGAACAGAAAAATAGCTTAAAAAGATATACCTTTGCATTTTCTTCTGCACACGAACTTGTTCCCTTGAAGGAACAAAATCACATGCATTCAAACGAATGGTATAAGGAGGACAACAAGTACTTTCCATCTCAGGTTTGTAGAGAAAACAGCCAGATCTCCTCCAACCCCGATCAAGAAGATCTGAAATTCATTCATAATTCATATATCATTGGACGGAGGAACAACATTGTAATGAACCATGCCCAACGCTAACGAGATTCAGATTTAAATAAATAAGCAGCTGAGTTCCTATAACTAGAGTATTTTTTCATGCTTGCATGAAGCTAACAAGAAATTTTCAGCACTTCTAAGGCTATTTAAATGCTCTAGTCATGATATTTGAACAATTACTTAACCTTGGGAACTATTATAATTGGATCCAATCCTAATTATATTAGAAAGGATTAAGTCTTGCATGATATAATTTATCATGTCTTGACAAGCAAACATAAGCATGTGGACGAATAGAGACAAATAAAGACCAACATATAATGGTGAATTGTTACAGTGCAGAGAAAAATTAAAATTATATTACCACGGACATTAGGTGATAGTGTGAAATAAGTGAGCTTTAGAGAGAAAAAACATCCCCAGCTACATTGTAAAAGCTAATAAAATTGAGAACAACTGAAAGGAATAAGAAAAAAAATCAGATAGCCTTTCTCAGAGCATCTTTGAAAAATGATAGAGAATATAGAAATGCAATTATTTGTCTCCTCAAGGCCTAATCAATGAGTTTGCGGCCAATAGTAACTTAGAAAAATAGAGGCAATTGCTATTTTCCCGAGCTTAACTAGTGAGCTAGGTGGCATAAAATAGAACTTGTTGCTTCATTGAGTCACTTCTGCAATCACAATGACCGATCATCATAAATTGATTGTCCGCAGTTCATGATTAATAAAGAAACTAGATGAGTAAGATAGAGTATAAGAGAGGAGGAATGGCAACGAGTCACACAGGAGTGGTTTGGTCTTTGTTAACCTACATACACTATCCAGAGATGTAGCATGGTTCGATATTTGGAGAATGAATTACAGAAGCAATAAACATTGTGAACCCAAGAATCGATGCTTAGACAGGAGTGGTTTGGTCTTTGTTAACCTACATACACAATCCAGAGATGGAGCATGTTTCGATATTTGGAGAATGAATTACAGAAGAAATAAACATTGTGAACCCAAGAATCGATGCTTAGTTCTCCTTCATTCTCACCTCTTCAGGTTGCCTTGAAATGGTACTAAAAATGATCTTTCAACCATGTGCTCTTTGATGGTCAAATATTTCCTGTGTCATTGGTTGAGAGTGATGAACGTTTGCACCTTTATGATGACAATTACTTGATGATAAATATCTTGAGGGTTCTTTCCAAGTCAACTTGCGGTTCATACCAAGCTGTTCACGATGCTAGGAAGATTGAATGTATTGGATTTCAAAATGTAGAAACTGGGAGAAATGAAAAGGAGAAATGATTGAAGAAGATTCAGCACAACAGTTTTGCTGAGTAGGTACACTGGAACAGATCAAATGTGTGGCTTCTCAAAGGTGGTTATTTAAAATTATTCGGCTGTTATACATTCAATATCTAAAATCCTCAATTTTAGCTTTTAAAGTAAGACCCATGTACGGCTCTCCTGTGTTCAACAAGCATGGGAAGAAGAATCACCATGATTAGTTCCCCCGCATTTAAAATTCGATTTACACGTGAATAAAGTTACAAAAGTTATTTAAACTCTTCATCTTTCCCGTCTTTTATCTTATTTCTATGTAATTCAACAATTTTCCTTGTAACTTAAAAAAAGATTTCAAATAATAGAATTTTGCTAAAATTTGCATTACATTGAAAGAAACAAAAAATCAGAAAACTAATCCAACATTATCATTCAGCGATGCAATTGATGAGATTATGGATGAAGTTGCGGCTTTTATGCCAAATAGGTTTGTGTGTGGCTCTGGTAATAATGGATATTACACCCTGTACGATAGATTACACTGCAGACTTAATTATAAAAGCTTATATCACAAAAGCATCTCTAGCTGTACATCTACCTGCCTCTCTGATGGTGAGTTCATAGAAATGGAAAATTTTAGGAAATTTATCGGTGAAAATAGAAGGAATCAAGTATATGAAGAAACCTAATATATGAGGGAAGAGATTAATTGTCCTGACAAGGAGATGAGGAACGAGTGAGAAACTGTACAAGGTCAAGCACTATTTCCGACCTTTAATTTTGCTTTATGTTTTAAAGTAACTTTTTCATGTTCAAGAATTTTACTTGAAGAAATGTAGCTGTAGATTAACATTTTGAATATTGATTTTACTTGAAGTTATGTTAGTAGTTTCTTAATTTTTAGAATTTTTAGTTTTAAGTTTAAAATTTTTAAGCATACCTTTGATTGTTCCTTAAGAAGTGGTTATGTTTTCTATGATTGTTTTGGTCTGATGATGGGCTTGGATCAATTCTTTATTGGTTTTTCCATCCTATGACTTCAATCAGTTCACATATGATTACGAGAATCTTAAACTCTGACTAATTCACTTTTCTTATTATTACGAGTTTTTAGGCTTTGTGACTTTTGCTCCCTACAAATACATTGGTTAAAAATGTTTATAAAGAGCGGCTCCATGCAACTTTATTTTGTACACGGCTTATCTGATAACAATCTCAAAAATGTGACAATAGGTGATATTTTAGGATTTTGCACTTGCTTCATATGGTACCATCAATTTCATGATATCATAATTAATTTGTTTGTTGATATATAATTATAATTTGGAGTGATTGTAAATATAAGTTTTGGTACATATTAAAACAAGAGGTAGATCGAATGATAATGAACATTGAAGTTTCTATTTTATTTTATGTTTAAGCGTTGGATATGAACAAACCTTTTTTCATGGTACAACTGGTAACTAATTTATGGAGGAAGCTATCTCCTTATATTGGCAGATTGCTAGTTTGAAAACTTCTTTCTTTAAGCCTATTCGATTTTATATTATTAATGCTCGGTGTGCCTAGGTCATTGTATTTGAATAAAACTCATAGTATAGGTTTTTTTAGTGTTGTAATTTCTAGTTGACATGTGATTTGTATTTCTATGTAGATTTCAATCAGGTGCTTCTTAAGTTAACATTTGAGCATATTATATGTGTTTTGACATTTTCATCAAAAGAAATGAACATGGTTATGTATGATAAGCTAAAGTATCTCGGATCAATTAAACAAAAGAATGAACATATATATTCTAGAGTTAAGTTTGGGTGATTAAAATAGAAAATTGCATTGAGTGTTCATGTAGACGAGAATAAATTCTAAGGAGAAGTTTGGGTGGTTAAAATAGAGAATTGTTTCTATAGTATTATGCGATAAAATGATATCATGGAGGGTTAAAACTTGAATTTAATAAAACCTCAATTTAGGTTGATGATGTTGTATGGATATGAGCATAGCCATAAAAGCCACAATGATATCTAAGTTGATGTGATAAAAATGAGAATATTAATATGAATGTATAGCAAAACTAGGAATGATAAATAAAGGGAATACTGGATCAATGGTTGAAAGTAAACAAATATTGAAGAAAAGGTAATTAAAAATAAACTCAGGTTGCTTGGATAAATAAACAAAGACTAAAAAGTAAATACACTAAAAAATTATACAAAAACACACCCATTAAATAGGTAGATAAAATTTGTCTGAAAGGAATATGATGTAAAAGGTGTAAACTTGAGGCAATGGTTGGAAGTAGTTAAAATAATTTGTGAAAAATATGTTCAATGCCAACACTCGCAGAAATGAATAAAAATAAAAATTCATAAGCCAGCCCTAAATAGTATTGATAAAATAATGATGATCACGATGAAATAAAATCCATATTGTATATAATCTAGATTCTATCAATCTTGATAGTGGAAAGTAAAATGAAAAATAATGTTCTTAATCATTGTTGATTGTCCTAAATGGCAGTTTATTTGTTAAATAGCTTTAGAGCAAACATACCATATTCTTTAGACCAAACATACCATATTTCACAAATTGGTTCTATTTAAATTACATTGCTTTATAAGTGAACCAAAATAGTCCTTAAATGTATCTCTTCGCACATGTAAACTGAATGTCCAACCTATTATTTAAAATTGCATAATGTGAGGAATGTTTTTTACACAAAATCGCAATGAGACGTATGTTTTTTACACAAAATCGCAATGAGACATGTTTTTTACACAAAATTTACGTCTCATTGTCCGAAAGCGAGGTGTACACCTCATCCAGACTGAGGCGTGCCTTGAATTTTTGAGGCTATTCACAATTTTATTAAACCAAATTAAAATTAATATCAATATCCCTCACATATTAACCTTCGCATCTTACACATTAAATAAAAATAAAACAAAAAATATACATATAAATTAAAATAAATATAAAAGAAAAAAATGATATAAAAATAAATGAATAAAATCCTATAAATTTATATTTAATTAACATTTTAATTGATCATTATTCATTAAAAATAGAAGATAATTGAGATTAAAGATGATGAGAAATAGGATAATATGGATACGACTAAGGACAATACACGAGATAAATAATTTATTTTGTCAATAATTCTAATAAAAATTAATTAGGTGATAAAAATAATTAGGACTTTTAAATTTTAAAATTCAAATATTGATGACATGTTATATTTTTGTTTAAGTGGATGGCGGTATAAGTGAAAAGAAACATTAATGTTGAACTTAGTGTTGAATTTGTGAATAGAGCAGCTTGAATTTTATTGATAGAACGGGGGCATATATACCCAATTACAAAACTCACAAGAAAAGTAATAAAAACATAATAAAAAGAAATAGGAAAGGAAATAAAAACACAATATAAAGAAATAAGAAAGGAATAATGAATGAATTAATATAAATCTCTGCATTTAATACAAATATTTGCATAATTCTAATACTCTCTCTCAAATTGAAGCATAGATTTCAGTCATGTTCAACTTGGATTTGAAGTCATCAAACTGTTGCTGAGAAGGATTTTTAGCGAGGATACCTACTAGCTAGTCACTGAAGTTTTTTCTTTAATGAAATGTCTGTCAATCTCCACATGTTTGGTACGATCATGTTGGACCGGGTTGTGAGTGATGTTGAC